GGGGCGGAGTGGGAGCCTTGGGTGGGAGCTGTTGGTCCTCTTGGCTTTAGGTTTGGCCGAGGAAGTGGTGGAAAGCTCCTTCTGAATCTCTGTAGCTCCTTCTGAATCTCTGTCTCCTTCTCCTTCTTATATTTCTCCTTCTCTTGCTTATATTTTTGCCTTTCTTACATTTCTCTTTCTTATATGTCTCTTTGTCTTTCTAATATGTCCCTGTCTTATATGTCCCTGTCTGTCTTTTTCTCATATGTCTGTCTTTTTCTCATATTTCTCTTTCTTATGTGTCTTTGTCTTTCTTATATCTCTGTCTTTCTTATATTTCTTTCTTCTGTTTCTCCTTCTCTTTCTCATATTGTTTCTCCTTCTCTTTCTCTTATTGTTTCTCTTATTGTTTCTCCTCTTTTTCTTATATGTCTCTGTCTTTCTCACATTTCTCCTCCTCTTTCTCACATTTCTCCTCCTCTTTCTCACATTTTGCATTACTCCTCTTTCTCATATTATTTCTCCTTCTCTTTCTCTTTCTCTTTCTTATATGTCTCCTTCTGTGATTTTTCTGGGTCAGTTTTGCCCCCGTGTGCCCTGGGGAGCGTCGGGGCTCTCAGGATAGGGGGTGAAGAGGTCCCGGGGCCGTGCGTGGTGCCGAGGCAGCAGCTCTTGCCGCGAGCCGGCCGGGGGTTGGTTTTGTTTCCAAAAGCCGATGGCCGCTGCTGCAGCGGCGCTGCCTTTCTGTGCTCTGTGTGCCGCAGGCAGCGGTGTCTGCGCTGCTCGGGAAATGTGTGTCGGTGCGGTGGGGAATGCTGGGAGGGAGCTGGTCGCAGAGGAGCTGTGCTTGTGGGGCTCAGTTACGGGCTCAGTTACGGTCTCGGTCATTGCTCTGCCCTCCTGGCTGGGCACTTTGCGTCTGTGCCGCCGCGGCTCCCCATTTCCCTGCCCTCTCCCTCACAGGCTGCGCCCGGCTGCTGGACGAGTCGCAGGTGACCCTCTCCTTCCAGGACTGGCTGGCCAGCGTCACCGAGCGCATCCACCAGACCATGCATTACCAGTTTGAGGGTGAGGCTCCAGGCACGGCTCCACGCCGCTCCCCTGGAGCTCCGGGCAGCACGACCTCGCTGCCAGCCCCCAGGGAGGCGAGAGTTTTGCCCAGCTTGGAGCAAACGTTGTTTTGCCCTGCACAGAATTGATGGACTTCTTTGGTTCACTCCCTAGATGTGGGCTGGGTGCTCAGCAGCAGCCTGGTGCCAGGGTTGATGCTGGGAGGGGAGGAATTCCCTAAGAGCTTGGTTTGGGCTGGAATTCAGCCAGGGCCCACGCAGAGGGGGTGAGGGGAGGTGCAGCGAGGTGCAGTAAAAGTGGAGCACGATGCTGGATGTGGTGCGAGGGCTCAGAAACACTGGCAGTCCCCTTCTGCTGTCACTGCTGCCCAGAGCGCTCTGCCATCCTCCTCAGCCCCCCACACGCCCCAAAGGCCAGGCTCTGCTCAGAGCAGGGCTGGGGGTTCCCCATGCCCATAGAGCCCTGGGTGATGGCATCAGGGTGCAGCACCCACCCCACTCTCACCAAGACAGCAGCAGCACCTTGTGCTGGGATTCTGGGAACCTTAACAGGGGCTGGACTGCCTGAGCCTGGGCTGGGGGAGAGCCGTGCCTGGCTGGCTCTTCAAGAGGGGCCCCGAGGGCACCTACAGGGGAGCAGCTCTGGCCCCAGCACCCAAGACTCCCACCCGGCAAGGTGGCACCCAGCACAAGCATCCCAGGCTCCAGCAAGCTGCCAGCAGTAAGAGCCAGGACCCAGCCCATCGTGCTGGGGGCATGGTGGGACTGAGCGCTGACCTGAGCTCTCCTCAGCCCTGACCAGCTCTGAAGGCAGCTGTGGTGTGAACACCAGAACAGGTCCAGCAGTGGACCCCTGAGCCTCCAGCACAGACCCAGGGCTGGCTCCAGCAGCACACAGAGGGGGCACTGCACAGAGAGACCTCCAGGGCCCCCCGTGAGGCCCCCACCCCCCCTTCCCTTCCCCTCACCCCACAGCTTCTCATTCGTACCCCCACAGGCAAGCCAGAGCCGCTGGTGTTCCACATCCCACAGGCCTTCTTCGATGCCCTGCAGCAGAGGATCTCCAGCGGGAGCTCCAAGAAGCGGCTGCCCAACTCCACCACAGGTAAGGGGGAGAACCCCCTGCCAGCAGTTCAGGGAGGCTGCTGGGGGAGGCACAGCCCAGCACCAGCCCCCCGCTGCCTCCTTCCCCGCTGGCTCTGCGCAGCTTCTGCCCTCACTGCAGCTCAGGGAGAGCCTCTGGAGCTGGGTGAGGAAGACCCAGACTCTGCTGCACCAGTCTGCCCACAGGCACCAGTACACCCAGCACTGCCCAGAGCACAGGAGCAGCCCCAGCCTGGGCTGGGGGAGCAGCCCCAGCCCCCCGCAGAGCAGAGACTCCCTTCCCCAGTGCCTCTGTGCCCAGAGGCAGCTCTCAAGCACCCACCCCAGCACCCTCACAGCTCTGCACCCCATCTCTCTCCCACCTCAGCACAGAGCACAAAGCCAGGCCCCTGCCCAAACTGGGGGCTTGCAGCAGAGCTCAGCGAGTCTTGGCAGCACAGCAGGGGCACAGCTCCCCCCAGCCTCCCCTGCCCCCTCCAT